TAATTTCACGCTAACTTTTAAAAAAAAGAATAAAAAGTAATTTCAGTCAAATATTACTCCCCCCGTCCCAATTTAAATCGTCTGTTTTGATTTTTGGGCATATTTAAGAAAAATAAAAAATATAGTTGATTTTCCGAAATTGTCATTACTTTTTAGAAGGGGTGATGATGAATGAGAAGATAAGGTGAAGAAGAGTGACTTATTTTAGGGGTAGTTTAGGTATTTTATTTTTAAATGTTTACAAAAACAACTAACAGACAACTTATTTTGGGACAGAGAAAAAAAGCAAACATGCAATTTAAAATGGGACGGAGGGAGTATAAAAAAGATACTAGTATGTAACTTTTTGTATATTTGTGTTTTTCATTGATTGCTTAACAAAATAAAATATTTATGTCACATTTTGTTTTATAAATTTTTTAATATAGTTCTGAAATATGTAATTTAACCTTTGTCTCAAATTAAGCTGCATATTCATTGTTCACAAAGCCAAAGTTTATTCACTTTTTTTTAGCTATTTTTGTTAGTCATATGATAAGATAAAATATTTATGTCACCCCATGTTTTTACTAGAATTTTTTTTTATATTTTTTAAATATTTAAGTTTTATTCCCTAATGCCACCCAAGTCTCGTATAAATTGAATTAAAAGTAACTTCAATTAAATATCGTAATTCAAAACAGAAATTTAAAGTAATTTTACTATAAATAAAAATGTTTTTTTTTAAAAAAAGATAATTTTACACATTGTTGAGAGAGAATTTTTAATACACAAAGATGACAGCTTGCAATGAAATGCATGTGTCATATATGCATGTATATGTTTCGAGGGCAGTCCAATAGTCCAATGCGCGTTTTAATTTAGAAAATGTAATATTTGGCCCATTCTCAGTCCTTGTCAACAATATGAACTTGTTGTTTGAGGCTCACTCCCTATTCTTTTTTATTGGTTTTAACTTTATAGACTTAGGTTTGAAATCTTATTTGTTTTCGTTAAAAAAAAATATAAACTAAAATATTTCGTGTGTCTACAACTTATAAGGTTGAACTTAAAGTTGAATTAACTTTAAGAAATTTACCTGAATACTAAAACATAGTAACTTTTTAATGTACGTAGTATCATATGTTTTTATTTTCCAGCGTGGTGTCATATGTTTTAGTACTATTTAGTGCAAATTTTACTTAGCTTTTTGGTGAAAGATATTAAAACTTCTTGATCCAAAGATCACGAGTTCGCCAAGGACCTTGTAGTATACAGTGTTGATTTGTTAATCCCACATCGGCAATGCAGCCATGTGTTGTGTTATTAATTAATAGTTTGGATACATCATTATTTTATGCTTCTCGACTGCATTTCAAATGTGAGTATGAGAATGTGTTCACACGTTTTAATGTTTCAAGTGCTATTGCACCTTTCAAAATTGCTTGGATATTTTGTCTACTTTTATATAGAGTATAATGTTAACCAAAAATACTCATCTACAAGCAAAGTTTATCTAAATAAGAGCCCAATTTTTTGTTTCGCTTATGACCCATACAATGTTGAACCCGACGTAAGGCGATAAGGAGTTAGTGCGTAACAGTGGAAAAGATGCAAGAAACACCATCAAATGGACTCCTCCAAGCAAACAAGAACTTAAGTGCAATAATGTCAATGCACGTTTCAATCTTAAGGTGGAACGCCCACCCCAGGCGTATGGGATGAGACAGACAGATTCATTTGAGGCGATGAGGGGTTAGTGCATAACAGTGGAAAATATCCAAGAAACACCATCAAAAGTATTAAAAGGGGTGCTTGTTAACTGAAGATATGCCTCATGAGCAAGTTGATGTGACAATCTCATCTTAAATCAAGAAGCGGCGGTGATGAATCTAGAAACAGACGGTTGTAGTTGGCTCGGAATATATTTTTTTGCTAGATGGAATTATGAAAGAATTAGAATCAAAGGAAGAACAAGCTAAAGTAAGAGTGGGGCCGCCGTCGCCGGACAAACCACCGGCGACGGCGGCGGAAGCAAAAACTATTAGGTCACCAAGAGCAAAGGCTCCGATACCATGTAAAATAATAAAAAAACACTTTATTGATTGAATTTAATAAGAGAGGAATAGAAAGTATGTATTTATAGGTGGAGGAATATATTCTAGAATCCTCCACATTAATGACTAATTATATAAGGTAATATTATATAATAATAACTCTAACTATAATAGGTAACAACAATAATTATAATATAATACTAAATATATTAAAATAATTAAGATATTTAACATGCTACCAACGTCTTGGAAGGTGAAGATTGAACGCCAACTTTTACTTGAATTGTGACCAGAATTGTAATCAGAAGCTAGAGGCATATCTTCGGCTTGAGTAGACTGGATGCATCCGGCCCAGAAGAGAAGAAGAAAGATTGCCAGGAAAGAGATCTGATGGCGCTGATGAGGAGAGGAGAAAAGTCGCTGCGAACAGACTCATGCTCCTGACGTCGAAAGAGGGAGAAGGTTGACGAGCGCTAGAGTCGTGCACGACTAATTTAGAGGGGAAACAAAAAGAATGAAGTGTTGCTAGGGGTGCTTGTTAAATGAAGATATGCCTACTGAGCAAGTTGATGTTACAATATCATCTTAAATCAAGAAGCGGCGGTGATGGATCTAGAAACAGACGGTTGTGGTTGGCTGGGAATATATTTTTTTGATAGATGGAATTATGAAAGAATTAGGATCAAAGGAAGAACAAGCTAATTTAAAGTAAAAGTGGGGCCGCCGTCGCCAGACAAACCACCGGCGGCGGCGACAGAAGCAAAATCTATTAGGTCACCAAGAGCAAAGGCTCCGATACCATGTAAAATAACAAAGAACGATTTATTAATTGAATGAATAAAAGAGGAATACAAAGTATATATTTATAGGTGGAGGCATATATTCTAGAATCCTCCACATTAATGACTAATTATATAAGGTAATATTATATAATAATAACTCTAACTATAATAGGTAACCACAATATTTATAATATAATACTAAATATATTAAAATAATTAATATATTTAACAAAAAGGACTCCTCCAAGCAAACAAGAACTTAAGTGTAATAATTAATGTCGATGCCAGTTTCAATCTTAAGGTGGAACGCCCACCCCGGGCGTATGCGACGTGACGGGCATATTCATTTGAGGAGCTTTTAAAGAGGTGGGGCGAGTTGAGAACGCACTGATGGTGGCAAAAGCTACGGGCATGAGGGAAGCACTTGCTTGGCTCAAAACCTGGTGTGGTAGAGAGAAGATAACAATCGAGATGGACAATCAGACAATTTTCAAGGTTCTTCAAATTAATGTTCATGATTTATCTTATTTCACAAGTATTATTATATCTTATTGTTTCTTTCTTACAACATAATTCAAGTCTCCGTCATGGCCGATCGTTAGAAAATTAGTAAATCAGGTTATTCACTTGTTAGTTCGGACATCTAATTCTATATCTTGTTTTTTGGAGTGAGTTTCTACCCTTCCAATTTATGTGTGTAATGCATTACTTGGTGATGTTTTGAATTAACCCAAATGTTATATTAAAAAGGGCACTATCTTCCTCTTTAAACTACGACATTATTTTTTCTTTATTGAGTATCTAATTATACGAAAAAAATATACGGAGTAAAATCTTTCGTTGACAAACTTTTGTGTGTAGGTGTGTCAATTTTTACCCAACCAGACGGATAACCAAATCACCCGACTTGATTTAATGGATAAAAACTCGAACAAAAAAAAACAAAGGATGACGGACGGGCCAACGATGGATGAGTCACATGCGGATGAAAGTTTTTCCCACCTGTCACCTGATCCATTCATATTTATGCGCTTCATATTTTTTTTCATCCCGCGAAATTAATGATTAAAAAATTACTCCGCATTACTTATATCACCCATTTTTTACCGCTTCACTCATTTCTGAAATTTCCACACCCACGACACAATATGTAACCAAAGACACACACACTTATCACAGCAGAAGGTGGTTAGAAATTGTGATGTAGCGCAACAACTAAGTTTCACAGAATGCTACAACACCTTTTGTAACACCAAACCAAACAAAACGAAAGCAAGCAAAGATACAGAAATTTGTTAACGCAGTTCGGAGCCAACTCTCCTACGTCTGCGAGGCCCACATCCGTGTAATAGCCTTTCCACTAGATCATCATAAGAATTACACAATCAAACTCAACAGACCCTTCTATTGAACAGATTTGTCTACTTACGTGATCAGACACCAAACTCAGTTTGTGTCAAACTAGGTCTATTACACCTTCTCGTTGCTCTGCAATAAGGATGTGTTCTTGACCTTTGCTCAGCCTCACACGATGCACAAGCTGAACAAATCTTCAGAGAAGATCCATGGCTGATCTTCTCACTGTAACCTCTCGCGAATATATGATATGCACTTCTCTTTGATAGATCAATTATCTGTAAGTACTCTCCTTTAGCCAACTGTGTATGTTCTCGCCCACCTACTGCCAAGCGTTAATCTCCTATTTATATCTCTGGACTAGCATAGGATAAAACCCTAACCTGTAGTCTGTAGAACTCTTGCGCATACGTTGAGTCCAGAGAAAAGTCTCGCGTTGAGCAGATAACGTCCAGCATAGAGTCTTAGTCCAGGTTGCCATGCAAGATGACCAACAACACAATTCTACTACCAAAAGAACACTACACTACTTATCAACTCGTGGTTGTGTGTTGTCAAAAATAATGCCAACCCATACGCTAAATAATTACGGACCTAACAATCTCCCCCTTTGGCTATTTTTGACAAACACAATCGCTTGACACTCAGCCAGGTCTAAACCTCTTCTCCCCCTTTTGGAAAAAATATGCCAAAGGCAGAAGTGTATATTATTCAAGAAACTGGAGAAGAGTAATATTTAGACAACTGGATGCAAGAGTGTGTACATTAGTGCAACTTAGGCACCTTAAAATGGTCATCCTACCTGGGCAAAGACCTGAGTAAACAACCAGGAGACCATGTGCAGTAATAAGGGACGGACCAATCCATCAAAAACGATGGAATAGCAGCAATCCTTAGCGTAACATACCCATAGCATAACACACATAGTAGCAGCAAAAATATGAGTTGATGAATCCATGCCAAAACATAAGGGACAAAACAATCCCATCAAAATAGTGAGTAGCCAAAGACAGTAGTGTTTTGCACAAAACAACTTGTGGAGTTTAATCATCAAACTTGTGGAGTTCAGCTTCAAAGTCTGACTCTTCATTTGCTTGGTTATCATCCTCTGCATCTGCGCTTTCCTCTCCTTCATCAGTGTCTTCATCATCTTCACTTTGCTCCCCCTGTGTTGCAGCACCTTCTGGTCCACCTTGCGTTATCTTCTCCCCCTGAGAGTTAGCAGCTTCATCTGAAGTGGTGTCCAGAGATGACAGGATGATGGCCCATTTCTTCTTCTTGATTTCAGCGTCTTTGATCAACTTCTTGTATTCATCAATCTTCTCTTGCAATGACTGAATTTCCCCTTTGATGAAAGCTGTTTTGGAAAAATCTGACTGAAGAACTGCTGGAGCTGTCTTCTGTTCCTCCCTTGTAGACATATCATTGTAATGTCTTCCTTCAAAGTGTCTTAAATCAACCTGGAGAAGAGGAGGAGCAGGTTCTTCTTCATCTGCAACTACAAGTTTCTGAGATTTGAGCATTTGAAAAATGAGAAGTGGATAAGGAAGCCCATTAGAGTTCTGTTTTGCCCTTTCAGGTGCAAAGCTCATGATCTGGTCAAAGATGATTTTTCCAAGATTGACAGGTATCTCATGCTTGATTTTGTAGATGAGTGTGGCTATGCATAGTGGGACTGTGTTCATGTGGGTGGTTGGGAGCCACTGATATGCAGCAACCCTGAACAGTATAGCATAGGAACTTTTGAGGATGGAAGAGGGCACTTTTGACTTGGTGGATTGAGAAATACGCTCACCATTAGTAAGATCAGTCCAGACTTGTCTTTCATTCACATTGATTTCAGAGGAAGGGGGTTTTATGTTCAGGAACTGATTGATTTTGGTAGGGGACAGATCAAAGGTTTTCCCTCTCACAAACACTTTTTGGTATGAAGGGTCAGTGTGAATGTTGCTACCCTCAGTCAAATTGCAGTAAAACTCTTGAATGACTTTTCTCACATAAGAACCAGGCAAGGTGATTGATTTAAGCAAGTTACCCTTTTTCAGCACAGGGATTAAGTTTGTCTTTGTTTCAAAATCCTCAACATCAATGCTTCTTTGTGGCAGAATAGTTTTCTTGATAATTTCAGACATGCATGAACTAGCAATTGAAGAAACAAAAAGATGTTTAGAAAACTTCCCTGCTTTGGGTGACTTTTCTGCTTTTGCACCTTTCCTCTGGTTGGTCTGACTTCTGGTTGAGAGTTTTGCTGAAGGAGATGATGTTTTCTGCTTCTTTGAGCTCTCCTCCTGGGCATTTGTTGCTTTCTCCTTACGCTTAAGTTCCTTCTTTGGCACTTCTTTGGTTTGAATTTCTTCCGACCCTTCTGATTCTTGATTCTCCTTCGCCTTTTGACGCAACGACCATCTGGATCCAGTGTGTTTCGCCTTTGGTTTCTTGGATGCTGGAGTTGTAGATTTTACTTCTTCAAATGGCACATCAGAACATGCTATCAAAGGTTCTTCATCTACGATCTCTGGTATTCCCTTTTCTGACTGCAGATCTTCCTTCTTCTTGCTTTGCATGTCCACTTTTTGTGTAGTACCTGTAAATTCTAGAAGAAACGGTTCTGGAAATGTGGCTATAGGGTTTAGAATCACATCATCTTCTGTGTCTTTTCTGAGTTCAGCATCTACAGATCTTGACTCTGGTTGCTCCATGCTTGATTTTTCCAGATTGGGTTGTGGGAGATTTTCTTCGTCTTCTTCTGCTGCCTGTGTTTGAAGATGAGCATCGGTTTGTTGTGCGTCCTTTGAAGCCAGTAGACGCGTCCAGCGATGTTTTGCCCAGAGTTCTCTTTTCAGTGCAGATCTTCCCTTCCATCGTTTTGGAAGTGCATGCTTGATTCTCACCATCTTTGTTTTTCTTGGTTTTGCTCAAGTTTGTGAGATTTGATTGTTAGGGTTCTTGAGAGACCCTTTATTCGGATGACAATACCGAGGTCCTTACCACGCCTTCTCTATTTGAGATAAAGTAGGTGACTCTTCGTGTGCCTCATTACTGTGTAACGGCGCATGCTATCACTTTTCTTTCAACTCAGCAGATTTCTTGAAAATTGAGCACATTAGCTGACAATTTGTGCTCATTTTTATTCTTCATGCTTTATTGAAATGGTGCGCACAGACCCAAATTGGATCTGAGAGTCTCAAATCTTTCTCCATCAAGTGCTTTTGTAAATATATCTGCTAACTGATGTTCAGTATGAACATATTCAAGAGTGACAATTTTATCTTCTACTAGCCCACGTATAAAGTGATGTTTGATGTCAATGTGTTTGGTGCGTGAGTGTAGTACTGGATTTTTGGATATATTTATGGCGCTTGTGTTGTCGCAATAAATGGGGATAGTATCATGCTGGATTCCATAATCAGTTAGCATTGACTTCATCCACAAAAGTTGTGCACAACAACTCCCGGCAGCTATGTATTCAGCTTCTGCAGTAGATAATGATACTGAATTCTGCTTTTTGCTAAGCCATGCTACTAGATTGCCCGCTAGATAGAAGCATCCACCTGAAGTGCTTTTGCGATCATCAATGTTGCCTGCCCAATCTGCGTCACTATATGCCATAAGTTGTGCTGGTGCACCTTTAGAGTACCAGAGACCCATACTATGTGTGCCCTTAACATATTTCAGTATTCTTTTTACTGCCTTCATATGTGATTCTTTAGGCTTAGCTTGATACCTTGCACATACTCCCACACTGTAGCATATATCAGGTCTACTTGCAGTAAGATACAATAGGCTTCCAATGATCCCTCTGTAGTGAGTAGCATCAACGTCCTTTCCATTGTCATCCCTGCTTATTTTCTCATGTGTTGGACATGGTGTTCTAGCACTTTTGCAGTCACTCATATCAAACTTCTTCAGCATATTCAGAGCATATTTATTTTGAGATATGAAAATTCCATCCTCAGTCTGTTTGATCTGTAGCCCCAGGAAGTAAGTTAATTCACCAATCATGCTCATTTCAAACTCTTTTTCCATGACTTCAACAAATTTCTCAACATAAACTTCTGAGGTTGAACCGAATAGTATGTCATCAACATAAATCTGAGCTATCAGTATGTCTTTACTGTACCTGATATAGAACATGGTGTTGTCTACTCCTCCTCTGGTGTATCCTTGTTCGCATAAGTATGCTGTTAGTCTCTCATACCATGCTCGTGGAGCCTGCTTCAGACCATAAAGTGCCTTGCGTAGTTTGAATACATGCATTGGATGTACGGTATCTTCAAATCCTTTGGGTTGGGATACATAAACCTCTTCTTTAAGGTATCCATTCAGAAAGGCTGTTTTGACATCCATTTGATACAATTTCATATTCCAGACACATGCCATGCTGATGAGTATTCGGATTGATTCAAGTCTCGCCACAGGTGCAAAGGTTTCTTCAAAATCCACTCCTTCAACCTGTGTGTATCCCTGAGCCACTAGCCTTGCTTTGTTTCTTATCACATTGCCATTTTCATCAGTTTTGTTTCGAAAAATCCACTTCGTGCCAATAATGTTCACATCCTCGGGTTTTGGCACCAGTTCCCATACCTGATTTCGCTCAAACTGTGCAAGCTCTTCCTGCATTGCGTTTATCCACGCTTCATCTGTCAGGGCTTCTTTGACATTTCTTGGTTCAACTGATGATGTATAGAAGGCATTGATCATCTCAACATAGTCAATCTTCTTTTTCCGAGTGCGCATACCTTCTTGTGGATCTCCAATCACATTTTTTAGAGGATGATTCTTTTGAATGTGAGTGGGCACTCGGACTTCTTCTGGTTGACTTGCCTGTGGTTCTGCATCTGATTGGTCTTCTGTGTCTGTTGTTGGTGAAGCTTCTTCAGCTTGCTGTTCAGCAGGTGGTTCATCATCTCTTGAGTCACTGTCATTCTTCCATAGTGCTTTGTCATCTACTATGACATTAATGGACTCAATGATTGTCCTGGTGCGTTTGTCGAATACTCTGAAGGCTTTGCTGTTTGGTGAGTATCCCACGAATATAGCATCATCACTTCTTGCATCAAACTTACTTCTATGCTCTCGATCTCAAAGGACGAAGCATTTTGCACCAAAAATGTGAAAATGTCCCACATTTGGTGTTCTCCCTTTCCACAGTTCATATGGAGTAGCTTGAGTTCCACTTCTTATGTACACCCGGTTTATTGTGTAGCAGGCTCTGTGTACGGCTTCTGCCCAAAGATTTTCTGGCAATCGTTGTGTGTGAAGCATTGTTCTTGCCATTTCTTGCACATGTCTGTTCTTTCTTTCGGCTACCCCATTTTGTTGTGGGGTTTTTGGTGCTGAGAACTCATGAGCTATTCCTTGTTCATCACAGTAGTTGCTGAAAGGTTGGCTGTCAAACTCCCCTCCATGATCACTTCTCACTCGTATAACCTTTTGAATCTTTGACTGTTTCTCAATTTGAACTTTGTTGCAGAGTGTAGCAAAGGCATATAGTGCATCATCCTTATGCCTTAAAAAGCATACCCATGTATACCTTGTAAGATCATCAACCACCATGAGCACAAATCTCTTGCCTCCAATACTTTCAGTCTTCATAGGTCCAAAAAGGTCTATATGCAGCAGCTCCAAAGGACATTTTGTGGACTGAAATACCTTGACAGGATGAGTTTTACGTGTCTGTTTTCCCTTTTGGCAAGGACCACATATCTCTGTCTCTTTATTGACAATTTTTGGTAATCCCCTCACAGCTCCTGAATTCGACAGAGTTACAAGATCCTTATAGTTCAGATGCCCCAGACGATAATGCCATAACCTTGCATCTTTTTCACTTGCAGAGAAGCAGAGAACATTTGGGGTTACTTTATAGCAGTTATCTGCAGTTCTGTCACCTTCAAGCACCACTTGTTTGCTTCTGTCTCTTACTCTGCACTTTTGTTGTGTGAAAAATACTTCCAGCCCTTGATCACATATTTGACTCACCTGTAATCCTTGGACTAACCATACATTTTTGATAGGTGGTAGTCCGGATACATTGAGCGTGCCATTTCCAACTATTTTTCCTTGTGCTCCACCACCAAAACGAACACTTCCTTGTTCAAGCATCTTGATGTTAATGAGGTTTTCTCTGTCACCTGTCATATGATGTGAACATCCACTATCTAGGAGCCATTGATCTGGAGTGACCCGGTAGCAAGTGTTGGCCACAGAGGCAGATTGTTTTGGTATCCAGATTTGTTTGTACCGCTTAGTGGCCCATCGCTTGCTCCATCTAGTGCCACACTGGCGCTGTATGTGTCCCCACTTGTTGCAGTTATAGCATCTGTAATGATGATAGGAATTCTTGTACGAGAGTGTTTGATGCTCCTTTTTGGACTGACGTGGGCTGTTGGAGGTCGTTACTTCAGAAGCTTTGACAAACTTGACTTCAAGAGATTGTGGCATCTTTCCTTTATCTGTATATCCAATACATGTCATGTCTCCAGGAGATTTTTCCATAATCGAGTGATGATCTAACACCTCTGCTCCAACAACCTTGATCCATTTTTGATAGGACTTTAGTTGATTTATCTCGTATAGCAGATTAGATTTTTCTCCTTCAAGATCTTCAATTTTCCTGGCGAGTCCGTCAATTCTTTCCTTCAAAGCATCAACTTCTGTCATCAGTATGTTTTTGTCAGTGACATTCCTTTTGTTCACCATCAGGAGTTCTGACCATTTTTCTTGCAGATCCTCGAGTTGTTCTTCAAGACTTTCTTCGTCACCTAGATCAACATTTGCAATGAATGCACAGTTAGATTCTTCATAATCACTCTGATCTTTAGTTTCATCATCACTCCAAGTTGCCTTGAAAGCTTGTCTCTTCTTTTTTAGATTGTTGGCACACTCAGACTGGATATGGCCATATCCGCCACATTCAAAACACTGTGGCCCCTTCTTCTTCATATAGTTTGAGCTTTCTGTGTATTTGGCTTCTCTATACTTAGCATCTTTTGATGGAAGTCCCTTGGAGGTGCCTTCATGTCTTTGATTTGATTTCTTCTGAATCCACTGCTTCTTGAATTGTCGAGTGAACAATGAAAGCTGCTCTTGGAAATCTTCATCAAGTGACCAATCATGTTCTCTGTCATCTTCCATCTCAGTGCTGAGAAATGCAATCTGCTTATCAGGTTTTCTTCGTTTATTATCTTCTGCCATGTCCAGTTCAGTTGATTCTAGTATTCCCATAAGTGCATCAAGAGTCATGTTTTTGATGTTGTGGGAACGTCGAATGGCCTTGACATCCATCTCATATTCTTTTGGAAGTGATCTCAGCACCTTGAGAACCAGCTTGTTTTCTGGAATGGGTTCATTCAGTCGTGCAGCCTGGTTTGCAATATCTCTAACTCTTCCATGAAAATCAGTGATCTTTTCCTTCTCGTCCATGCGCAGATTTTCATATTGAGTCATCAAGATCTGATATTTTGCAGTCTTCACTTCCTCATCTCCCTCATGCGTGACTTCAAGAATATCCCAAGCTTCCTTGGCATTGTCACAGTTTGAGATGAGCTTGTATTGGGTAGAGTCCACTGCCCCAAAGATTGCATTTAAAGCTTTGTCATTAAACTCAGCAGCGGTTACTTCAGTTCTGCTATATTCTTCGAATGGTTTGATTCTTGACATTGTCAGATCATCAGAGTATTTGCGCGGTTCAGTCCACCCAGTTTCTACACTTCTCCAGACTCCACCACCGAGGGATTTGAGAAAGGCCCTCATCCTGCCCTTCCAGAAATTGTAGTTATGTCCACGCAGTAAAGGTGGTCTCTGAACATTCGCTCCTTCTTCCATGTCTCCCATGATATGATCGATAGCTAGTAAATTAAGCTATGCAGGCTCTGATACCAAATGAAATTTCCACACCCACAGCACAATATGTAACCAAAGACACACACACTTATCACAGCAGAAGGTGGTTAGAAATTGTGCTGTAGCGCAACAACTAAGTTTCACAGAATGCTACAACACCTTTTGTAACACCAAACCAAACAAAACGAAAGCAAGCAAAGATACAGAAATTTGTTAACGCAGTTCGGAGCCAACTCTCCTACGTCTGCGAGGCCCACATCCGTGTAATAGCCTTTCCACTAGATCATCATAAGAATTACACAATCAAACTCAACAGACCCTTCTATTGAATAGATTTGTCTACTTACGTGATCAGACACCAAACTCAGTTTGTGTCAAACTAGGTCTATTACACCTTCTCGTTGCTCTGCAAGAAGGATGTGTTCTTGACCTTTGCTCAGCCTCACACGATGCACAAACTGAACAAATCTTCAGAGAAGATCCATGGCTGATCTTCTCACTGTAACCTCTCGCGAATATATGATATGCACTTCTCTTTGATAGATCAATTATCTGTAAGTACTCTCCTTTAGCCAACTGTGTATGTTCTCGCCCACCTACTGCCAAGCGTTAATCTCCTATTTATATCTCTGGACTAGCATAGGATAAAACCCTAACCTGTAGTCTGTAGAACTCTTGCGCATACGTTGAGTCCAGAGAAAAGTCTCGCGTTGAGCAGATAACGTCCAGCATAGAGTCTTAGTCCAGGTTGCCATGCAAGATGACCAACAACACAATTCTACTACCAAAAGGACACTACACTACTTATCAACTCGTGGTTGTGTGTTGTCAAAAATAATGCCAACCCATACGCTAAATAATTACGGACCTAACAATTTCATCCGTGCACGATGGATAAATTTGATTATAAGTGATGTGATCTACATAACGGATGATAGATGTATCAAGTAATGAATATAAAATTAATGAACAGATGAAGGTGAAACTTTACCTCACATGGTCAAGTAATTTCTTTTGACATTTGGGCTTGGACAAAGGTTGTCATCCAATTATTACAAGGACCTTAGGAATGCATCTTTTTTTTTGTGTCATTATATAGTGGCATGTTATTATTGGGGCTTGGGGTAGTTATTTCTGGTTGTGTTACATCTGTTAATGGCATTGGTAGTCCATGTTTGGTACAGCATGATGACTATTTACACACATTGCCACACAAGAAGAAAAAAAACCGAATTAATCATTACCCTACCCTTGTTTACTCCTAATTGCTACTCAATCATTTTTCTTTAAAGAGTCTAACCATATACTCTCTCCGTCTATAAATAAAATTCTCGTTATGCGTTACGATGTTCGAATGAAGTTATTTTCAAATCATTTTATATGAAAAATGATATAGAATTAAAAAATAAAAATCACATATTCAAATTTCACATTAAAAGATCTACAAAACTAGAAGTGGCGTGACTATATTATTTTATCAATATGATACGAAAATAGGTTAACAAAGTAATAAAGTTTGACTATGAAGATAGTGAATGAGAAGTTTATTGTTAGTTGGAGGGAGTAAAATTGTTAGCTATTATAGAGTAATTTTCTTTGATATGAAGTAATGAACTAATGGTGCAAACTGCAAAGTGAACTTTGGATTCTATCGATTTGTTTTTTCTCTTAAAAAAGCAAAGCATGTTTTAAATTAATTTCAAAGTAGTGATCACTTTCTAGAGTTTTTTTATAATTTAAATTACTCCATATTTGTGTATTATTAAGATGATTAAATTTTAATTACTTTTTAAATCTATTTTTATTGTTTATTTGATAAAACAATCAAACTTTAATATAGTCAAATATATTAAGTCAAATATATATTAAATCTATTTTTCATACTAATTTTTAAATAAATTGAATTAAAAATAAATTAAGTCAAATATATATCGTAAATATATAACAACGAATAACTTAAGTTGGGATGAATAAATTTTATTTTTAAATGTTACATCTATAATCAAATAAATTCAATTTAAAATAAAGTTGGTCAAATCTTCTAAACTGAAACAGAAAGTTAAATTTCTCTCCATGTTCATTAATAGTTTTAACAAAAGGGGTTACACTATTTGGACGAAATTATTGTCAAACTAAATATTGGCTTACAATTTAAAAATATAAAAAATCTATGAAATAATACTCCAAAGATGATATGACTACTTTATTAAACACGGGAATAAAGAGCAAATGAGCATTAAATATTATGCTATTATTTATTGCTCATTTGCTCTTTGCCTTGCCTTACTCGCCTTACTCCATTAGTACTATTTGCCTTGTCAACTGCACAGTGTCCACCGATTGCTATTATTTTATGTAAAATTCGCACTGAATAGTACTAAAACTTATGTCATCTCCCAGTGTAGTGATGGTGGGCATTTAGTTTGAACAATGTCTAGTGACGGTGGACATTTACTTGAACAATGACCAGTAGACAATGACCAGTGATACTACATTTGGAAATACAAATATATTATTTTACATTGGGAAAGTCACCATGTTTTAGTAGTACGGAGTATTTGGGTAAATTCCTCTTTATACGAATATACTTTTAAATATAGTACTTTTATTTTTAAAATTTCTTTACCAATTTTTCAGTTGAAATAAAAATTGTTTCACTCAATTAAATTTTTTTTCAAGTGAAAGAGTACAAGAGGACATAAACAATTTGAACTTGCAAATAGTAAAAGGAGTAGTGCCTAAATGCAATATGTGAAAGAGAAGGGATCCAAGAGAAAAAGACCATTATCTAGTTCCCTCTATATTTATCCTATCTCCCTCATTTCCTCATCTCATTACTATCAATCAATTCCCTCCCTTTTTTGTTCTCCTTTCTTCTCCCTCATCCCTAATCTCACCGCAATCTCCGATCAGAGACGAGAAAGATAAAATTACCGATCGGACCGGATCGGAATTCAGAGGAATCTAGAAATCGAGGAACCGATCATCGGTCAATTGGATGGCGGCGGCGGCGGCGGGGATGAACGGGCAGTTCGGAGACACGACGTACACGAAGGTGTTCGTGGGAGGTCTGGCTTGGGAGACTCAGAAGGAAACGATGGAGAAGTACTTTCAGCAGTTCGGCGACATCTTGGAAGCCGTCGTCATCTCCGACAAGGCCACCGGCAGATCCAAGGGCTACGGCTTTGTATGTTTTCTCTTTATTCATTCGTTCTTCTGTTTGTTAACACTTCGAATTCCATCATCAAATTATAAAACTGATGCTTCTGAAAGAATTTCTTCTTTGTTTTTCCCTTAAGTTTGTGAAAAAGTAAAATTGTATAATAATTGAAGTTTATGTAGTGTGTACAGAATTAATGTGAAATGCTCCTTTGTAAATTTCTTTTTGAACAACTAAAAAAGGAAAGCTAGAGTTTTTTAAGGGAAGTATATATTTTAGTCAAATTCTTGAATGGTCACAAGGTTCAACACTCATTTTATGGACCTTAGTAAAAACATGGATGAATTGGGATTTTTTTAAAAAATAAAAGATCTCCATGTCGTCCATGTCGTCGACCTTACCTTAGGATCATCACAATTCTTTTAGTTAATGCACCATAACATACTAGCTAATTTTTGAGGTATCATTGTTTTTACTAGATCAAATTACTCCCTTAACTTGGTTCCTCTGTCTCACAAAATTTTTAATTAACCCTTTTCCGTCCGTCTAAAAAAAACTTTAAATACGGAGTACTTTTCAAAACTCTTAATGTGTCTTTTTTTTCAAATTCTAATCATTTTTTGTTTTCATTTTTCAACATTTTAATGACTTTAAAAGCCAACTTGTGAAGATTTTTATGGGGCGAATGCAGTTTTTCCTTGGTGAATATGTAATTGAAACTCATTATAAAAAGTAAAAAAGGTCATAGGAGTAGTTCAACTTACTTTCATGAGCAATTTGTGACTTTACACACCTTGGTTTGTATTTTTATACTGATGAAGTAAGTGTTTGTATTTATGAAAAAAAATAAAAATAAAAAAGGTGACATTTAGAGAGGCAGAAGCAGCCATGAGAGCATGTGTAGATGCAGCACCAGTGATTGATGGGAGAAGGGCAAATTGCAACCTTGCTTCTTTGGGTGTTCAAAGATCCAAGCCTTCTACCCCTAATAAACTTGGTATTTTCTTTATTCCTTCTTTTACTTATGAGCTAAAGAGTCAATTTGGCTTCACACATTCTAATCTAAAGAGTAAAACTGTCATTTTGCACCTAGAAGGTGAAAAGTTAATAGGGGTGAGAAAGAAATTAGAGTGTCTAGAGAAAAAAGTTTTTTTAGTAAGTACTATTAATTCTATTATAATGTAGTATTCCCTCCCTTCTCAAAAATACTGCATCTTTCTTTTTTTCTGTTTCTAACAAAACACTTCCACATTCTATTAAAAAAACACTTTTACTCTTACATTTTCAAATCCTACCTATCACATCATACTTTTTCTCTAAGAATCTATCCGTCACATCTTACTTTTACTCATCATATTAAGGGCAAAATTAAAAATCAACTACAATTTAATACTTTCTTATTTATAAACTTGGTCAAAATTGGAACTTTTTTTAGAATGGAGCGAGTATTTGTTTATGCATACTTTCTCAACTTAGCAAATGAGAGTTAATGCCTCCGCTGGGGTTGGTTTGAATGTGTGACCTTTTATTTGGAAGGTCACACTTGACCACAAGGTCCTTGGCTAGAAAAAAGTATTTTAGTGTGTTAGATACTTAGATATGCATACTTTAATTTTGGGACAATAAATAAGGGATGTAAAATTCTAGTAGTACATGAAGGGAGGGAGTAATATTTAATTATTTAGTACTTGGGGAGTTTTTTTTCTCCCTGTTTCTAGATTTTAAAAATTTAAATGGACAGTTGTCTCCCTTGGAAGTTTGGACTGCTTAAGTAGTTGGACTTTATTGTTTAATAAAGAGTACTGTATTATTACCTGCACTTTATTTTTACTTTAATCCTCACAAATAGGGAGTTGTTTTTTGAAGCAA